TTAATCCAAGTTACAGATCTAGGGAATTATATGCTGCTTAGAGGTGGTTGATTAGAGTGGTGAATAAGCCCTGTAAATAAATAAATATGGGTGCCATGATATTAGAAGCACATGAACATCCATTACCATGTACAAAAAGCAAGTTTTTCAAATGCTCCAAGGTGAAATTTTAGGTGTTAAAAAATACATGTTGATTACAACTCACATTTCTCCTTTATTATTTTCCATACTTTTTCTTCACATACTCATCAGTGATCTACCCATGCAACTTTTGTGGTCTTTGAAATTAAATACCTGAGGATGTATCACTTACCATAAGGTCATGAAGTCTGGGTTACAGAAAGCAGAGTTAGCTTGAAGCATTTATATTTCGTATTATCCCCCACACAATATACCTGTAACTATAAAGATATGTTCCTTTTGTCAATCTTTTCATTTGATATTAAAAGACATTCCATTTTAATTGAAGATATGGAAGCTATCCCTAAAAACCTAAATAAAATTTGAAATGACAAATTGAGGAATTAAATATTTCATTTGCTAAGTATACTGCATTCTTGTCAGAAACTGAAAACTTAGAGCATATTTGGATCATCTCACTCTGTTTCCAGTATTTTTATAAATACTAGCAAAGAACTACAGTGAAAAAAAAAATCTGGTTTATGTGCTTTACAACCTTCTATAAATGAGAATACACATCAGAAAACAAAATGCCAGATATAAAATAAAGCCAATGTATGTCACTGTTTCTTTTACACTACAGATAATCCATACTTTCCAAGTTTTATATCTGACAATCTACACCATAACCAGCTGGACTGGTTTGATTACCAACTTATAAGGAACTAAAGGAATTTATGTTGCTATGCCCTTCCCTTCCTTTCACCATAAGCAAAAATATATATTAGCTACATAACAATATAGGATGCCTCAATACAAGGTCCAGCTAAACAGGTCTCAAGTTGCCATATAGCTCATCCAGGGAAGATATAGGTCACAACCTTGACAAACTGTCTGCATTCAACCTCAGAAGACAGAATTTATAAAGAATAGAGCATCCCAAATAATGTATATAGCATTTTTGAAGTTGGCTTAAATTCCAGTCTCTCACTTTAGAAGGTGGTATTGAGAATCAAAGGAATAGCTTGTATAAGTAGTTGTGTAGGAAATGATGTCACCACAGTTCAGAAAGGATATTGTAAATCTACAGTAGATGCAGAAAAGAGCAAACAAAATAATGAGTATGCTCAAGTAGCTCTTTGCAAAAAATCATACAGCAAAACAGGCTAGTGATAGGACAAAGACCACTCTGGACAGAAAACTGAATTACAACAATAACAAAAGTATTAAAATCATGCAAGACATAGAAAACTTGTATACTGAGATGTTTTTATCCCTCTATCATAGTATTAGAACTTTAATAATCCATTAAAGCTACAGTAGATGCAGAAAAGAGCAAACAAAATAATGAGTATGCTCATTATTGGAGATTTAAGATATATAGATGCACTATGCATAGTTAACTTTGGGACTAGCCATCACCAGATGCAGTGATTTCACTACTATAATTTCAATAGTTTAAAAAGGAACTAAGCAAATCTGTAGATGGGTGTTTATTACCTCTAGAACAAAAGGCAGTATGATCTGCTGCGTGCTGCAGAGAAGAGACATTTATCATCTACTCATGAGCTTCCCTGATGCATCCGATCCACATTGCAATATAGAACACAGGACCAGACAGACCTTTGGCCTGATCTAACAATGCAATTCTCCATTCTTCTGACAGCCTCACACTAAATGACATAGAAAAAAAGCAAGTGTACAGACACTGCAGAAAGAATCTGCACAGCTGACTTAAATAAGAAGGCTGGGAAACTTCATTGTAATCAAATGGAATCAAATCTAGTATTATAATGCTCAGGAGGAGCCAAGAGGACAGGGCTTTCCAAAACATGAGACTGCTGAGGAACAGCAATGTTAATTCAGGACAATTCATATTAATAAACAAGGGTAATATATGGTTTCTTTGTTAATCTCCTCTGAGAGCTTATTTGGCTGAAAATATATTGAATAACTGAACAGAATTAATTTACTAACACCCAAAGGTCATAATTTATTCTCCTTTTTTTAGAATTATTCAACATTTCAAAAGGACACAATCTGGCAAATGGATCACAAGACATAACAGTCAGAATGAGTGGAATAGGATGTCATGTGAAAATGTGCTGTCTACACATGTGATGTCATCACTCTGGCCTTGACCACTTTTTTCACAAAGGAAATGAATAACCAATTTCTGAACCATTTATTCAGCAAATACAAGGGAAAAGGGAACAGCAAATACAGAGAAATGTCATAGGTTAGTGAAAATGACAAGTCTGGTTTGCATGTATAATGAACCAGAATTCTGGCTTTTTATGAACAAGCAAGCATGTCAATTATACCTGACTGTTCCTGCCAACGAAAGCAACTGAATAAACTAGGAAATCCCTGTGATTTATCATTATGTCTGAACCAGGAGCCCTGGCTTGTGTTCTTTTTAACAAATCAAGATCATACATCAGAATTTGTTCTTAGCTTAGATTCCAGCCCATTAACAAAGAATCATGCTTAATATCCTGGCTTGTACATAACAAACCATGAATGCTAGCTTCCTAATTGTTCATCCATTTCAGCTTGCAACAGGAACCAAGCAGAACTAGGCTACTGTATCTGCAACAACATTGTTTGCTCCTTCAAAATGAGCCATAATTCTAATGAATGGTAGTTTGCCATGCCATGTAAACTGGGCTACAATATGAAAACAATACAGCCAAGATAATTGTTTAAACTTGTTATGTATATGAAGTCATTCAAAACCAGTACAGAATATAGAAACTGCATGTGTTCTAAAAACAGAAATACCTCAATAATACTCAGAAGTTATAATGAAGATTGAAGATTCCATTCTCCCATTCCTAAAATGCACAAAGCTCTGCCACACAAAACTTCAGCATCCAAAAGCTATTGTGAACAGCAATGGCCACTAATAAATTCCTGTGTTGATTCCACATGTGGTCCAATGAACATACATGGTTGGCATACCTTAATGTTAGACTATAACTGATTCATTTGGCTATGCAATTTCTAATACAGAAAGGCTAACTTCCAGCTTCTCAGTCAAATTTGCTCCTCTTTTTATTAGACTCCAAAGTGCATACACTTCTAATTAAGCAACAGTCTTCTTACTTTGATAGTTGTGTTCAATATTAGAACCCAATCCTTTTAAACAAAAATCTTCATCTGGTTGTCCCATGCTTTTTTTTCCAGCAACCTAGTTTAAGTGAAAAAAAAAAAGTTCCTTTGTTTCTGCTAGTGTTAAACTACTGGGAACAACATCAGATAGCTCCACTAGTCTATTTTCTGTCTACCTCTGGCTTATGCAGCCCAATAATGTTTACTGCTTTGTTCCTAAATCTCATTTGGTTTATGTGTAAGCACCTGTAAGGAGAATGTAGACTTATGCCACATAGTTTTAATATAGGCTAGAAGACAAAAACTGAATTATGCTGCTTCTTTTTTGATATTGGTATTCCTGATATGTACATTTGTGTCATGTATATGTGTGTGCATGTATATATATATAGAAGGACAGTATAAATCATTTGCTCTATAGGATTCTTTTAACATGTTAGTTCCAGTAAGTACAGCTTTGCACAAATGCAATATAAAAATACAGACTTTGTTACTATTATCTAATCCTATCCATCACTCTTACATGCCATTTTTATCCCACACCCTTCCCTGTTTTCATTTATAATAAATGAAAGTAGAAGATAAAAACAGATGATAGAGTCAAAACATCTCAATGTTTAAAAGTAATCTCACAATAGAAAACATGCACATATAAGAAATGAATCAGGAAATCCACCTTATCTTTTTTTCAAAAATATATTAAGAACTTTATATAAGCCTGCATATCTCACTATTCACTGAAGCTACAACCTTAAGCATAATTGCACAGGAGAATATTCTAGTAACTATAGTGGGGCATATATTCAGAAACATATATAGGAATGGTTGTAAAACACAGTAATCACATAGCAGTATTACCACAAGACAATTATAATCTTATCCCCATACATCTTCTTGGATTCCAGAGATGGTCACATGTTCTTCCCCTGCTGTCCCTCTCCTTTGCTTTCTCACCTCAAAGATGAGCAGAGTTTAGAAGCAGGATGAAGTCTCATGCTTGTTCATCACATCACACTGCTTTGAATCAGGCCAGCTATCCCCATCTTCCAGATGTCCTCCAGATATACTGAGCTCCTGTTATCCCCAGTCAGCATAATCATTGGCCAGGGTCAGTGCTCCAGAGTGGGGAAAGTTGTATTAAGTATTTGTTACCTGAAGTTCAATGCAGCCCAAATCCAGTTTGAAGCACAGTCTTATGTATATCTATTAAGCAATCCTGTTGAATTAAATGACTTTTCAGATGTATTTATAAGACTGTAGTTAAGCACTTTAAAAGATAGGAGATGCCCTAATACTGGAAAAGTACATTGCATTCCAAAGACAGAATGTTGGCTCACCATATTATCCATGAGGACAGGATATTAGGAAATAGTTTCTGAACATGTGCAACATGTCTTAACCATTTAGGAGCCGTTAAAAAAACCAAAACCCTAAACCAACCAGATTTTTCCTGAAGTGTGGTACTGTACTCCCTTAAACCAAAACAACCAGCAGGAAAATATAGCATGCAAGAAAGATCTCCTTTCTCATCCTTAGACTTTGGGTTAGAATTTAGGCCAGTTTATCAAAACCCGTTACGCACTTCTAATAATAAAAGTAAGACTATGAAGATCACGGAGGGGCTGCATAGGATAAAAAGAACTAGATGTAGATGAGAAAAAGTACTCCCTACACACTCCCGGGTCTCAGGTCTCGGGCAGCGGGTGTCCTATCAGAATGACCAACACACCAAGGAAGACTCAAGAGTAACGACTGCATTTCCTCACCTGAAGGTTGAGCATTCCTTGGACAGTCTAAAAGGGGAAGAGGTCGAGCCGCCGCTACTAATACGGCCACCGCCCCTTTTGTTAAACAGCTTCTGGAGCAGCGTCGGAGCCATGCTACTGCGCTTCCTCCTGAGCTGAGCGGAGTATGGGAGTGGAATCAGGGCACGCCAGCGACAGATCACGCAGCCAGCCGCAGTCAAGAGTTCCTATCTCTGCACCGTCAGTAGTAGCCCCCATGCCAGCTGCAGGCTGGACATCCAGACTTGCGCTAAGCAGCGCTTAATTCATTCTCTTTCGGAGCAGGCGCCTCCCTCTTTTCCCACACTGGCATTAATGGAGCCGATCAGTCATATGACTGAGGAAAAAGCCGAAAGTGTTTGTTCAGTCTCGCGCGTACCGCACATACAGCGCCCCCCATCTTTCTCCACTGGCTGCGGCCTCGGAGCTCGGCGGCTCAATCCTGGGAACTTTCCGAAAGCGCAACCCCCCCCCCCCGGTTTTTTTTGGGGTGGGGAGAGGTGCTCCAGC